AGTAGCTTGTGTCCGTAGCTCAAAAACAGACTAGGTACAGGACAGTAGCACAGGAAGACGTATTCATTTGCAGAAAGCAAGGCCAGTATAGGTAATTCTGACACATATTCCCTGCATTTTCAAGTCTGTATAGTCACACCCTCAGAAGGGATCCTTCCTCTGTTGCTCTGTCTTCGAATTCTCCATTTTTCCTCTTAAAGGGTTGTTGTTCTTTTTTTTTTGGCTCTATACAGCTGCTGAGCCAAAGTGCGCTCCATTAGAAAAATAAGATTGGCGTCAGACTTAACCAAACAAGTTAAAATATTGAAGTTACAACCTATAGTGTTATGATGTGAATTTACCTGAAATAATTAAAATATTATTATTAAAATTAATTAAAACACCACTTTCCCTGACTATATTAAATATTAGGGCTAAAACCTTGCAGTATAATTAATTTTGGAGATTAAGCTGACTGATTAAGAATTTGATAACACTGATCACACTCAGTTTGTTTATCATAATAAAGCAATATGTCAGTAATCAGAACAGTATAGCTCTCTTATGTTTTAGACAGTAATTTGTGGGGGCACAAGCTGTATCAGGCTGTTGCTACACTTGCTAGTGACCGAAATTCATTGTAGTTTTTTGTGCTTTTAGAATACTTTTTTAACTAATAATAACGCTACAACATACAATAATGCCAGCCTTGTCCTTTAGTTTGTTTGCATCAGTGTGCATGAATAACTGCATGGACTTCGTAGCTATAGATAAGTATTATAACTGTGATTTTGACTGTGAGCACCACTACAATAATGATTTCAGTTTTATTTACATGCATTTGTTTCGTTATATGCAATTGCTCTTGTCAGCACACCATATCTGCCACCACCAATCATAAATCCAACGTGAAGGTAAGAAGGTGTAGTTCATTTGGACCTTGAACTGGATGTGCGGTGGGAAAAACTGCAGTCATTGATCGTGGTGTAGAGAGATTCTACTGACAAGAGTAATGGTGTACACAGAAGTTAAAGTACATGGAAATAAGGCTGAACATCACTTCATTAAATATGTTATAGCAGTGTGTTAATGTCGTACCATCACAGCGTTGCAGCAGCCCCTCCACCCCCAGTGGAATCCTGTCTCCAGTGGGTGCCGGCCCAGGAGACGGACAGCTGCACTGGGAGGAGAGACAAGGCCAGTGGCTGAGGAGACGCAGGCTGGACGGAGCCATCAACAGAGTACCAATGGGTTTCTACCAGAAGGTGTGGAAGATCCTGCAGAAGTGCCACGGCCTGTCCATCGATGGATATGTGTTGCCCTCCTCGACCACAAGAGAGGTGGCCTCTCGCACACTTTCTGCTAAGGCTGGGTTTAGGACTCTCTTTTTATATGTGTGGTTAATTTTGTGTTTTCTGTGTAGATGACCGAAGGAGAGATCAAGTTTGCAGTGCAGGTGGAATCAGTCCTGAATCATGTCCCTCAACCAGAGTACCGGCAGCTGCTCGTGGAGACCGTGATGGTTCTGGGTCTGGTGGCCGACGTAGAGGTGGACAGCATCGGTGGGATTATCCACGTGGATCGCATCCTGCATTTGGCCAATGACCTTTTCTTTACTGACCAGGTACTACCAGACAGACAGGCAGATGCTTTATTGATCCTTTGCAGGAAATTACTACAATCACATCCAAGAACCCACATTTAACACTACACATGAAACATTGTTGGCACTACTACAAAAGTACTAAAACGTACTGAAGATTCAGAGCAAGGTAAAAAAGAAATATTTGTAATGTGCAAAATGTCCAGTATAGAAAATATGCAGTGTGAAAAAATGTAGAAAATCTACAAGGTAAATAATATACAGTGTGCAGAATGACTTCCATATAAAAGATTGACTTTTATATCCTAAATCTCAATATAACATAAAACCTGTGCATTACACAACCATTTCCTATACATGGAGTACAGCAAGGTTAGTGTTTATTCCTGTCCAATAAACAGTCTGATGGCAGATAATAGAAGAGACTCCCTGTAGTGTTCATTCTGCACCTCAGTGTAATCAGCCTTCAACTGAAGGCGCCCTGCTGAATCACCTCCAGGTGTGAAGTTGGTGTGCAGGTTTTCTCACAACTGACTTGAGTTTTGAGAGCATCCTCACCTCTGTCACCTGCTGGATAGAATGGATTTCTGTCCTGATGATGAAGCTGCTTTTTCCGATAAGTTAAATAATCCCGTTCTCGTCTTCTGTGTGAGCACAGAACATAGCACTGGTCACTACAGTCTGATAGAAGTCTTTCTTCTGACAAGGTGATGGCAACGGATTCATTTTTCTTAGATAAGATGTTCCCGTATTTGTGCGTGGGTTCACCCTGTTGTACTTCTGCATCCCCAGAAATCCCAGTGTGCCAGTGAATATTTCCTTGAGAAGGACCCAGCAACCGGAATCTGCAACTTCTTCTACGACAGTGCCCCCAGTGGAAGCTACGGCACCATGACTTATCTCTCCAAGGCGACAGTCACGTACGTCCAGGACTTCCTGCCAAGCTCCAGCTGCTTGATGCAGTGAAGAAGAAGCAGACTGGTGTGTCCAGAAGCTCCCACCAGACCCTGAAGAGACACGTTTTATAACTGAGGGATCAACTGGCCGAAGGCAAGCAAAGCTTCTCATTATCAGCTCATACAATATCTTTCATATACTGATAGACCATCAAAGCCTTGGCAGCTGAGTCATACTACTGTAGAAGAGTTTATTTGGTCATTCTGAGTCTGGACTGTGAACTTATTTATTAACAGGATGCTTAAATGCACGTTTAAAAAACTTACCTGCATTTTATGTAAATTAAAATATGCAACTGTAAGCACTTGTCTGTGCTCTTGAAGAATATTATATTGACAGTTATCTGTCTTATAAATGTATGTGCCATAAGTTTTAATTTTACTGAGCCCGACAGTTATCAGAGTAAACGTTTTAATAATTTGTGCAGAAAAGTGAATAATTGTTTCTAATCAACAACATTTTATTACTTTTTAATTTAATCCTTATTTGGAAATATTATATTATTTTGTTCTACTGTAATGACTGACCTAAATATGTGGGGAATTAAAAAAAAAAAAGGCACAGTTATTCCCCACAAATGGCTGTGTGCAAAATAATTAACATTTTACCTCTGACAGCCTTCAGGCTCTTCATAAATTAGTGTCAGTGATACTGAAACTTAATTGTTGTAGTCTCGTGTTAATGTTAAGCTTTACGAGAAGCAGAATCATGTTTGTCTTTGAATGCCAAGAAGTGTTTGTCTCTGTGTACATGTTGTGTGTTTTTGTACAACGAATGAACATGAATCTGTCTGTTATGCTCCTGTTACGTCCAGTCAACATTACCTCAACATATTAACAGTTTGTTTCTTTGTGTGCAGTGAAAATATGTTTATTTGTGGTATATTAGAGTAAAATTCTACTTTCATACAAGTATATACAGTGGCCTCCAAAGGTATATTAACAGCAGAGTAAAACTAGATTTTTGCTATTAACTTATGGTGTTTAGTGTGAAATAAAAGCAGCAATTATCAGCTTTGGTGTAATGGTGTTTACATGCACATACATTGTCCTGTTTCACAGAAATAACTGTGTTGTCTCAATTGCCTGCTTTTTTCAGGTATGCGAAAGTTAAACCTCTTTCTGTGAACAACTAAGTTAATGACTGACAGGTGGGACTTCTCACAACAGGGAGAACGCATGTGGAATTAATGACGGCTCAATTCTGTTAAATGCACCGGTAAACCATGACAGTGACCAAACATGCGCAAAAGCAAGACCTCTTCTAAGTGGAATGCAGTCGTCTTTAATACACCTGAGTTTTTCCCTGTTGTGACATGTCACAAAATCTGCTGTTAAAAAAGGCCTATTTGAGCCAGAAATTATACATCTCATCTGTAAAAAGAGAAAACAAAACCAAGAAAAAATTAGAAGAAAGGCGAGTACAGCAGCGTTAAAAATTCTGAAGAAAAAAAAGAAGCAACCAGTGGACTTAAAGGAACATTTTAGGTCAGTCTGCCTGGGAAAACAACAACAGCAATTCTTACAGCTGCGAAAGTATCCACACTTTGTGCTTCTGAGGTCACAGAGGCTGTAACTGCATGCACATCTAACAATGACAGCAATTTAAAAAAAAAGATAGATTGCAATTGCGCCCCCCCCCCAAAAAAATAAATAAATAAAAAAAATACAAAGACTAGCAGAAAGACTCTGGAGCAAAGTTTTGTCGACAGTTGAGACTTCCCAGTGTCCCAGTGTTAGAAATACAAAAGTGAGGAGAATTGAGGGATTTTCTGTGATCCAAACCATTCCTGTGGACGTGTGGCTGCAGTAACCGGACACAAGAGTCCATGTCGTGGACGGTCAGTAACTGCAGGCCTGAGACTCCACAGACGATGTGATGCAGAGCCAGACAGGTGATCTATCCAACGCCTGTCTCCATGTGACTGATGTCAGATGAGAAGTGGAGAGAAAAGCACATTTTTAAAAATCTGAGCTCAAGAAATTCTTCACCCCTGCTTCAGGTAACACACTGCAGAAGGGGAGACTTCAATCTGTCAGCCTCTGGCATGAAAGTCAGTGCAGGCAGCAGCAGCAGCAGAATGCAGAATCTCTTCATTTTTTTGTGCTGGAGTGTTTTGGACTCTCAAAACAGAGCCAACAGGAACACAGACCAGTCTCATTAGACCAAAAAGTCAGCGTGATTCTCTAGTTGAAGGACGGTTCCTGATAATAGCTCATGATAATCCTGCATGAGGGTGCACTTTCACGGGGAAGCTAAGAAGACTTACACTTTCCTGAAGTATTTATTGTTTATTTGGACAAGGAAAAGAGAATAAATACACTGCACAAATTATTAAATGATTCCATTTATAGACGATGAAGATTAATTATGTCAATGTATAAGAACAGATTATAATTTATAAAGAATATAGAAACAGTACAGATGTCTGTGTCAGGGCTGACTGAGGTTGTTTTCCTGCTCAGCCAGCAGTGTTCGCTGTTGTCCTCGGTACACATTTCTTCCAGCTGTAGGGCGACAGGCGGTGGGAGGCCGGGCAGGCACATTTATATCCACCTCGCTGGTTCACACACACATGGGAACAGCCTCCATTCTTACGATTGCACTCATTAATGTCTGGAGGAGAAAGAAAGAAAGAAAGAAAGAAAGAAAGAAAGAAAGAAAGAAAGAAAGAAAGAAAGAAAGAACAGTTTTTAACTAAATTCAAAATCTGAGTCCATCTTAGAGTATAGTTTTGGAAGCACCTTTTTACATTCTACATAATATTTAAAGTTTAATGCATGCTACTTTACACACAATGCATACTGAATCAAGCCTTTGCACGCTTATGCACATATATGTCTTTTGAGCTGCTGGTTTTCTTGCATTGTATGTATGTACGTTAATGTATGTTTGCCTGCATCACCTAAATATGTGCTACTAACTACAACAGGATCATTCCAGAGCAGTTGAGGCTGCAGCAGCTTGCAGCAAGATCCAAATAATTAAGTTTTTCTATTATCTTTTGTGATAATCATGTAAAAGTGCCCCACATTGCACACACTGTACTGTTACAGATGTGATTGTGTGGCTGCACTGACCCCTGCAGCGTCTCCCGTCTCTCTGCAGTGTGAATCCTCTGGGGCAGATACAGCGGTGAGATCCCGGCAGGTTGACACACTGCCCCTCACACGTTTCCTCCTGGCACTCATTTATATCTGTTCATACAAACACAGGAGTTCAGATTTTTTGACAAATTGGAGTAACATCAAGATGTTATTGAGAAATACCGGAATCAGATTCTACTTTGTTCTCACCTACGCACTCCTCCTTTGGAGTTTGTGCAGTTGAATTCTCAGGCGTCGCCGCTGGTTGTTTCCTGTATCCGGGTGGACACTCTGACACGCAGCTCCGTCCGTCTCCAGCTAAGATGCGTCCGTACGTGCAAGAGCATCGGTAGGATCCTGGTGAATTGTGGCACTGCTCCATGCAAGGCCCCAGCCCCTTATCAACAGCACACTCATCTATATCTGTGGTAGATCAGGACGTTTTAGCAAATATGAGTTACTAAGTTAAAGTCTGCAAGTGTTCCGTGTATATGTTATGTTTTCTTGGCATATTATCCAAAGTGCAAACACACTGAAATAGAGTTGCCCTTCTAATACAAATATTTTATTTGTGTTGTGATGCTCAGTTTAAATAGCATTTATTTGAAGTAGACATAACTTGATTTCTCCACACAGGGGCTGACTACTGCAGTCTAATAAAATCTGAATCTACATTGTGTTGTGTGCTAAATAATGCGGCTTCAAAAGGGCATTTGAATGATATAAGGCTTTTTTTTGGATCAAATCTACTTAGACTCCAACTTTTTGTATTTCAAGTAAGAAAACAGAGTTTAAATTTGGACTTATAGAGACTATAAAACAAGATTAAGGGTCTGTAACAATGACAGCAGCTCTGTAAGGAGACACATCAGTGCATTGAACTAAATGCTAAATACTTTATAAGACAAGAAAGCATTGTTGATCTGAAGGAAAGTCTTTTGCCAGATTTTGCTCAGAAAAAAACTAAATGATAAGAAATGCAGATATGATAATGAAATATTGCACATGACCTGAAATGTTACACTTAAAAAATTGAAATTTTGCACCTGAAAAATGAAATATTGCTCATTATATGGGCATGTTGTACATAAAAGTGAAATGTTTACCATGTTGCTTGGTCTTAAATGTCATGTATGCATCAAGCAGAGCTGGGAGTAATGACAATATGGTTGGTAAGTGCAGGTGTTAGGGGCATGAAGCAAAGTGTCTGACAAAAATAAAACATTGATAATGGCAGTCGATGAAAGGCTTGCTCTCTACGATCATTCTGCCAGAACAGCTAAAAAACCATGCAGCGATTCAAAGGAACATTCAGCGTCTGTTCCCTAACCTTGGCAGTGTCCGTCTGCAGTCTGGAGGCTGTAGCCGGCAGGACACTGGCAGTGGAAGCTCCCCGGTGTGTTCACGCAGCCGAACACACAGCCTGTGACAGCTGCAGGCAGCAGGCACTCATCCACATCTGGAAAGATGGAGAGCAACACAGGAAAACCCATTGGTTTGCTGCCATAATACAGACGCAAACGTCAGAAATACACACACAGAGCTCACCTGTGCAGGAGGTCTGATCGTGAGCTGGATGGTATCCGTCATCACAGCTGCACTTAAAGGAACCAAAGGTGTTGATGCATCTCTGCTGACACTGGTGTTGCTCCTCAACACACTCATCTACATCTGCATTCGCACACAAAAAACTTGAAGAGAGTTCAGGCAATATTACTAGATTACATAATATAAACACTTTTTGTGGTTCACATGGCAGCTTGGATGCATATTTAATAAAACACACACACGCTTGTGCACAGTCAGTCTGACAAAAAAAACAAAACAAAAAAAAAAACACAGGCTGCACTGAGATAAAAGCGAGGAGCAGAAGATGAAAGGTGGTCGTCTCCCCTGCCGCTCTGAATCAAGCTGGAATCTGAAACCTCATTGATGTGCCTCCATGTTTTTCTTGCTGTTCTGGCCTGTAATGAGCAAACCATAATGCAGATGTTTTCCTCGCTTCCTGTTCTTCAGACAGGAAACAAGGATGCGCAGGAAGGACTCGGAAAGCTTGTACATCAGCTCTGTCCTGGAGGAGAGTATCATTTTTCCAGCCTGACATCTCTATTTTCTCCATTTTCTTCCACATCTCTATATATAGAAGCTGAATGAAATCTTGAAAGAATCACATCTTTTTGCGATGAGGACCCAAATGAATGCTCGTTTTTCCTCCAGGAACTGTCAGATAAGAATGTTTTGGAGCCTTATTTCACTGCAGTGGAATCAGCCAAGCCACAACGTCTGGACAGGACTATCTGTCAAACTGCTCCCACATAGTATCAACACCATCCACTGGTGGCGCTCACAAATGATGGGTTGTCAGTGTGCAGGCAGGTGTAACTCGACAATATATGAAGTAAATAACATCCTTCTAAGTGCTGCAATTCTGCCATAAATTTCACAGCTCACTTATGCTGGTCTGTGAGCCATGAAACATCAAACGCATGATGTGAAGGCATCGGCCGTTTGTTCACATGTGAAGGAGATTCCCTGTTGTGCTGTAACATGCCTCAGTGCTCGCTGTGTTGTTATTAGAAAGAGCCTCAGGCGTCTGCAGGGGATTCAGGAGGAATGTCAGTCAGAGCTCTGGAGAAAGAAGAAAAAAACATTAAAGTCTCACCTCGACATGTTCGCCCGTCATCCAGTAGAGTGAACCCAGGTCGGCAGTGGCACCAAGTTCTGGTCTGGTTCTGGTTGGAGCTCTGGTTGTAGTGCTGGGAGTGAGAGCACAGCTGGGAACAGCCTCCGTTGTTCACTGAACATGGTTTCAGCTCTGCAAAAAAGTAGAAGAACTGAGCTTCTTGAATGAAAAACAGACTGAAACTATAGGTGTGACTCAACTGGAGCTGAAATGATTAGTCAGTTAATCAACACTTTTGATAATCAATGAATTGTTTCATTTTATGTCAGGATTTCCTGCTTCCATGTTATGACATACTAAAGTGAATATCTCTGGGTTTGGGACTGTTGGTTGAATGAGACGAGACATTTATTGATGTCAACTTGGGTTTTTTTGACATGTAATTGGCATCTATCACAATTTTGTTTGAGTGATAATTTTTTAAAACCAAAAAATTCACTGATCAGTCACAAAATGTAATGATACTAAAAATAATTAGTATTGAAGACCGAGATTTAACACAGAATGCAGGACTGGGACAATATAGTGCAGCCATTCCATCTCAAATGATCAAATTTCTGCTTCCACCGTCTCTGATTTGCCTGACATTTTTTTTTGTATAAAATATGGATATTTGTGAAGACATTTGTGAAAGTATAGCTTGAGATATCAAATACTGAGATCTGTTTTTTTTTTTTTTTAATGACTGTGGATCCACCTTTAACAAATTTCTCCAAGCCTTGAAATTTTTTTTTTTTTTTTTTTTAATGACTGTGGATCCACCTTTAACAAATTTCTCCAAGCCTTGAAATTTGAGTTTGAATGACAATATAAAAAAACTAATAAAAGGCCAAAACTTTCACTGTTATTTCTCATCATGACATTTATTCAGAATCTGCAACACTAGATAGTAGATCAAATAATTAGTATAGTTAAAAGGCATTTAAAGTCCCATTTTTACCTCACAAAAAAACGATAATGCAGAAGTCAGCTATACCATGTGCAGTTGTATGTCACAATAATACAAAACAAAACATACAGAATACTTTTAAATAAAAAATGCTTGATGACAAAAATGAAAATAAAGTTATTTTAGTTGAACTTTCATAACTGACTGACCAGATAAGACCACAAATATATATTGCTAGATAGCCTATTTCAAGTAAAACAGGGTTCTGGAGTTTCAAAATGGTTTTAAATTATCTTCAGAAAGATTTTTGACATATCAATCTAAAATGGCACCATTTTTAAATATCACACAATTTATGTTCAAAAAGTTTCAAGAAAACCAAAGATGGTTGAGCAGATGGGCCTGATGAGTTCATATTAAATAACCCAAAAGTGATAAAATTTTTTAAAAAAGAGTAAAAAGAAATAAGAATAAAATTAATCTCTTTTATAATAATCTGTTTTGTAAAAATGAAACAGGTGTAGTATGAATGGTCATTCTGAGCGTGGACAGGCACAATTTTCCACTCATTACAGAGCAAAAACCTTGAAACAGCTTTCAAAATATCATCCATCCATTATCTATACACCGCTTAATCCTCAATAGGGTCGCGGGGGAGCTGGAGTCTATCCCAGCTGACTTAGGGCGAAGGCAGGGGACACCCTGGACAGGTCACCAGTCTATCACAGGGCTACACTTAGAGACAGACAACCAAGCACACTCACATTCACACCTACGGACAATTTAGAATCACAAATTAACCTCAACATGTTTTGGACTGTGTGGGAGGAAGCTGGAGAACCCAGAGAGAACCCACGCTGTACGGGGAGAACATGCAAACTTCTTGCAGAAAGATCCCGGGTGTCCTCACCAGGACGCGAACCGGCAACCTTCTTGCTGCGAGGCAACGATTCTAACCACCAAGCCACCTTGCAGCCCTCAAAATATCATGAGAAGTAAAACTAAAGGAAAATGACAGCTCCAGTGTTAAAACTGAGAATAACTTCGAGTAGAAAAGAGCTCATAGAGGAATCTACAAGTTACAAAAAAACATCTTGACCTACCCAGACAAACAGGCGTGACTCCGCTCCACCTGCCTCCCTGCTGGCAGTAGCTCTGTACGTCTCCATAAGCCAGTGTATAACCGGGGTAGCAGGCGTACTGGATGTAGTGTCTGTACTCTCTGGGACCTGGATTGTCGACACTACGGAAGTAGAAGGTCCCGTGAGCAGGTACTGGTGGATATGGACACACAGGTCGTCTGCTGAGGATCGTTAAAGGTTTGGAGGTTGTGTTCACCGTGAGGTTGTAGTTTTCAGTCCAGTAGGAGCTCAAGTCAGTGGCGTCTGAAGAAAGTATGACATTATGTGACTGTGTTTTCATATTGAACTGGGAGGAGGTAGAGATTGAGGAAGTAGAGGTAGCCGGTGATGGAGTGGAGGAAGAACTGGTAGAAGTGGAATAAACAGAAGTAGATGAAGTCTCTGTGGGCTCCTCTTTATCAGCAGGCCAAGAATGTGAGAAAAAAGAATACTGAGAGCCATTTTCAACCTGCTGCTGGTCTGTAGTTGTTACTCCTTCAGAGGGAGTCGCATCATCCTGGGGTGTGACTCCAAATCCAAACAGAGGCAGAGTGGTTTGCTCGACAGCAGTATCTGTGAGAGCAGTGGCAGCTGCTGAAAATAACAGTGGTGAAGATGTTGATTTCTCGGTTCCCAACACTGATGATACAGTAGATGAGACTGTAATAAATAGATGGGATTCAGAGGAAAATGTTTGCGTGACTTTGTCCATCTTTTCTGCTTGTGAGCCAAACCTCCCGGTTTCTTCTTCTGCGCCTTGAATTTGCGCCTCAACACGAGCTGTTTGGACAACATCTTTGGCTTTCATATTGGGAAACTGAATGTGTTTCTGCAGGTGGGCTTTTGGGTTAGTCACATTAATTCTCTCACTGCTGGATATTTTGGATGGTGTTCGAGACAACAGGCCAAATTTGAGATCTGCTTCTTTAGAGGCTGTATTGGTGAGGGTGTTGTAGTGGGAATACTGATGGCTCTTTAGAGCTGCAGAAACCTGGAGGTTCTGGTGCGACTTTTGTGCAGTGACACCTGAAATCGATCTCATCATGTCGGACTCTAAAACAAGAAAGAAAGAATAAAAACACAACTGGAGTGAAGGGCAGGACAAGTCTATTTATACAGTAACTTTCAGAGGTTACAGAAAAGTAGGCACAAACATTTGTAATTACGAGATAAAATTTTAAGTTTGCTCCAATTCAGTTTCTTTCTTAGCTTAGCTTAAACAGCTTACCTGGCTGGGTCCATATATGTAGTCAAATGCACCTATGAAGAGTTAATTTGCTATTCCTAACCTGGATTTTACTTTGTATATCTTAATCCCCTTGTTACTCTTATGTGTTTTCCTTATGTGCCTTGTTACTGGTGTCATGTTTGATTTTATACTATTTGTCATTTTGTAATGGGGCCTTCTAGGCCAGGTTTCCATCACAAAAGAGATTTTAATCTCAAGGGACTTCCTGGTTGAATGAAGGTTAAATAATTAAAAAGAAAAAAAAAAACTTTTAAAGCTAATAAACATATAAACTATTTTAAGGGGATTTTGTTGCCAGGAAACCTTTGGAGACTCCACAATGTCACTGCCAAGCATTTCACAGTAAAATACTTAACTCATCAGTTTGAACATGTTTCTTTATTTACCTTTTATCTTTGGGCAGACACATCATCAGGATGTGCATTAGGCTAAATCAGTGCCAGCTCCAACTGCAAATCTACAGTACAGATGTGTAATTACTTTGATAGCTCAAAGTTACTCACACTCACCTTTGCAAACAGGCTTTGTGCTGTTCCAGGTGTGGCCCTTACAGTATAACATTGAGGGCCCGCGTAACCTAAAGCCACTGTTACAGCTGAACGTTGCCCAGGAGCCGTCTTCATTCATGCTGCTGGTCCCATGGATGAGGGTCCCCGGGTTGGAGCAGCCAGAACCTGAAAACAGGCAGAATACCATAGGACCTTTCTTATTTCCCTCCCTAAAATGTAGTATTTAACACATAATGGGATTTCAGGATATCAGTTTCTGTCTTTGTCATAAGATGTAATTGAACATTTAATGGCAAAAACAGAAATATTTACAGTCTAAAGATGTCTGATGAGAAAAACAGAAGGTGAAATCCTCAAAATAGGTTTACAATACTGCTCACCGACACACACTGCAGGTTCCCGGGACCAATGTCCAGACACACAGCTGTTGGTTTTGTATCCATGCAGCTTGTAACCGGGATGACAGCGGAAGATGACCAGCAGGCCACCGTAGCGGAAGAATGTCTGCCCGTTTTCCAGGTGTCTGAACCCACCGCATCCCTCGGCTTCACACACTGTAGACAGTTTCAACAATGAGCACCTGAAAACTTCTCTTAAAAAACAAATCTTAACTTGAGGGAAATACCTGGAGCGAAGATGCAAACCAGAGTGACCAGTGCTGCCAGGAGCCCCATCTGAAAGTACGCTGATCGACAGAGTTTTTGAAAAGGGGAAGGGATGGGAGGAGAGGAACTTGGAGAGCGAAAGTGGGAAGATTAGGAGAAGCTGAGAAATGAGGGGAGGAGAGATGCAGTGTGGGATTACTACAGGGGAGGAAGGGAGGAGGAGGAGGAGGAGAGTCAGACATGCTAAACACTCCGACAGACGGATGAGGAGGTATCAGGAGAGATGCTCTTTGTACATGTAAATACCTACAATTCTGCTTGTTTTAATATATCAAGTGATATCATGCACTCAGATATAGGACTACGCCATGGCACTAAAACAGCCAGTTTACATCCCTGTTAGTCTCCCAGAATACTCTTTTGTAGCCTCTTCCCACTATAGTGTGTGTATTTACGTGCACATGTGTAAAGAGTGTGTGTGTGTGTGTGTGTGTGCTGCTGATGCCTTCAGTAAAATCGGAACCCATTATTTGCTCGGCCTGACAGGATGCCTGGGCCTGTTTAACTGCTCTCACCGTTAATTATAGTGGGCAGGATGCCAGAGTGAAGTAGCATATAAACACACATGCTCGCACTGAAACACACACTCTAAAAATAGATACAAAACACACACAGAATTTGTGTTTTTAAAAAAGGCATTTTATTCCTTTTTGATGAACAGCTGAACACGCAGCAGCCGTAGGGAGCAGCGCGTTCCTAGTTTTTATGACTAACTGGAGCCTTTGGTCATCAATACTTGTAATACTACATACAACCACTGCATTAGGTGCATCTGTACAATTTAGTGCTGATAAATAAACCAGTTCTGTCATATAGGTGTTGTGAGAAATGTGTAAAATACAGTACGTTTTTATTACTGAGGTCATAGTTAAAGATATGTTGAACCACAGAACACGCCATAAAAACAGGAGGGTGATAAATACAACCTATTCAAATCATTGTAATTTTACTTATGTGCATTCTTCAGTCAGTAAAATATGCAATAACTTGTAAATTCTACCTGTACTTATTTTTATGTTAACATTAACAACTGCAACATAAAAAAAACCCCATAAAATATACCCCAAGACACTGACCTTTTGGATTTTTTTCCCTGTGCTTTCGATATTTCTGGAATGTGTGTTCAGCTTTCTGAGTAAAGCTCATCTTTTTGTTTTTCTCTTTTTAAAGTTACCTGCCTCCAGTGCCTGTATTTAACCCTTTTTTCATCAATCTATGACAATTCCTCTGTTCCCTTTCCCATCTTTCCTGTCTCTCTGTACTGTATCTGTGTAACAAAGGTAAAAATGCCTAAAAGTAATAATAATATATTTTTTTAAAAAAGCTAATAAAATTAATACTAGGTAAATTTGTAACAGGGACTAATACTTCTGCTGCTCCAACAAAGCAACGTCTGCTCTAAATCAAATTGTATCTAAAGTCTCAAGACCTGCTTCAGATCATCAGTCGACCTTTTCTAGCACTTGATAAGCAAAAATTGGGTACATTGTGTGGGTTCAGCTTTTCTGCCAACACAGTTCTTCTAGATGCTACCAAATCCAGTGATAATGCAGTCAATCACATTTTTCCAAAGAGCCAAAAAACAGCTGATGATAATTCATGAATGTCTGTATAAAATGTCCATTCATTCAATAGCTGCTGAGATATTTCACTTTGAAAACCAACCTACCGATTATTACTCCCTAAAGTCATACCTTCAGCGTGACTAAAATGTGCACCAATGATTGTAGGGTAGTCAAGTGTTAAAATGCTTGTTTTAAATACTAAAACACTACATCATTTAATCCTATTCGTATGTTCCTTCTTCAATTAGTTACTTCCGCATTTTAATACTCAGGTTGTTCTATTTATGAATACTTCTTTCGACCAATCTTTTCGCTTAGATGCGGATCCTTGCTGTCCAGTTTGTGCACCACTCTGAAGGCGTCTAGGAACTCATTAAAGTCTATGCTGCCGTCCTTGTTGAAGTCGATGCTTCGGGCCAAGTCGTCGATGGCGCTGTCATCGATGGCAACCCCCAGGTGAGCGCTGAAGAGGCGCCAGGTGTGACGGAACTCCTCGATGGAGATGAGACCTTAACACGACAGCACACGTCACTTCATTTTGAGGAGAACATTTTCAATTATTTAAACATCATCTTTGAGGATATTTTTTATTTACCTGAGTGATCTTTGTCTATGATGTTGAATATTATCTCGATGTCTGTCCTGTATCTGAACAGAGTTTCAGCCAAGTTTGGAGTCACCTAAAAAGGAGAGAAAGTGTCGTAAGCAATCGCTAGCAGCAGTGGTTGAATAATTATGGTAGTCCTACAAGTACCAGTGTCACCAGGGAAGAATTCCCTGGAAGTAAAACAAAAAGTACTGCTGTAGAAATTTAGTTTAGTGACATGTAAAAAATACACATTTTGAAGGACTGTGTTAAGGATGCAAGAAGTATTTCACTGTTTTAAATAGTCTGGATGTAACTGTAGTTTAAAAAATATGACAAACCAAAGACAGCCGTTGAATGCAGGAAAGAGGATTGTATACAATCAATACAGCAAAAATAAAGAATACAAGGATACTTGGATTAGTAGGTGCTCCTTATTGCAATATATACTGCGAGCTTTGTGAAGGAGTTTAGGTGCTGTTAAATGTCTATTTGTGCACATGTTGCATATTAAATTTTCTCAGTTTTTTTATGCACTCCTTTCTTTTACAGACCAGTTTAGGAGGCATTTTGTTCTGGATTTCTGGATGCAGCTGATTATATCTTGTTGCCACCCAGTTAAAAACCTCAAATTTAGCTATTTGGAGATCTTCTTTACCATAATTAATTCCATTCTGAATAAATTTCCAGACTTGTTTCACAAATTCATTGCCATCAACACTAGGAAACATGCTTTGTGTGCATTTTAGGCTCCTAGCAACAGATACACGTTTCCCACTTCAGGCCAGTGCTTGAGTAAATGTACTTGGATATCTTCCACCGTTTTGCTCCTGACCTGAGGTAGAGGAATTCCTGGTCCCATGTCTTCAAAGCAGGACATATACTCCACGCTGGCATCTGCTGCCAGCCGGGCTAAATGTGGACGGAGCGTCCTCCAGGGCAGGTCCAGTCTCAGCACTGACTCCAGCACCAGAGCCCATTCACTGACCGACACAGTACCTGAAAAAGAGTTACATAGACACATAACGATTTTATATGCTCACCCATGAAGAAACTTGTTTATAAGGAAGGGAAATGGAGTGAGAAGAGGGCACCGGTGTAATTCCGGTCATACTCCTGGAAGCCTGTCATCAGCTCAGAGCGATGGGCGAACACTTTCTCCTTTAAGGACCTGAGAGCAGAACCTTCAGCTGCTCGTACTCTGCAGAGACAAAGAGAAACACTGAGACTAAGCTTTCTTAATTAACTTGTTAAGATTATGTATGTATTATGACCGTCCTGAGTTTCCAATGAATAGAATAGAATAGAATAGAATGCCTTTATTGTCACTATACACAAGTACAATGAGATTAAGAGCAGCTCCTTCAGTGCCATACATAACCTATCCTATAACTCTCAATTTACTATGATTGAAAATGCTTGGTCAAAAAAAATAATCATGCATTTTTGTTCTTTCATAAATTTATTACAGGCCTTCATCAAATATATATATATATAAAATCTGCAGAGTCACAAATATACATACAGTAACTTGAGTTATTTTTTGGGTATGTAGACAGTTCTGTTGATCAGTTTTTCTTAGTGGCATGAGGAACTGGTGCTTCACATGGCAGAATAATGAAAAAGGAGGATGACCTCCACATTCTTTAGGAAACCCTAAAATCATCACCCAGATGGTTGGTCTTGGATGCAGTTTGGTGTTATAACAAGACAATGACCCTAAACACAGATTTAAAAAATGTGAAGACATGGCTAATTTAGGCCAGAATTAAGAGTTTGGACTAGTCTCCCCAACATTTTGATTCAAACTACATCAAGAACCTGCGATGAACAAACAAGTCAGTGTCAGAAAGCCAACAAATGTAGTTTAACTGCACAAATTCTGTAACGAGGAGGCGTCGAATATACAACCAGAAGCTTGTCAGAAACTTATTAAATCAAGATGAAAATGATGAAAAGGACTTTGAACCAAATATTAGCATTGCTGTATGTATATTTTTGACCCAGCAGATTTTGTCATACTTCTAGAAAACCGAGAATAAATCGATGAAAGAACCAAAATACATGATTGCTTCATTGTCACTGAGAGAAGTGTGTTTCAGTGATTTTGATTAGAAAATTAACAGTTATAGGAGTCACTGGTAACTCAATGCTGCCATGATACACATGGCCTTTACAAGTGCGTGCAAACTTTTGTCCATGACTGTAACCATTTACATCATACACCAGTGGTACCTCTGTGTCAGGGTAAGTTTGCGAGTTGTGCGGCTGACTTGGTACTGGTAGAAGCGGGGAACCAGTTCTCGGCCCAGTTTGATGTACGCACCACGGTTGCTTCCCTCCTCATAATAGTTTGATGCCGAGAAGATGGTGATCACCTACAACACACACACACAAACACATTTATCTTTCTGGACTCAAACCTGTTGGACAGGTTGAATGAATTCACTGTCTACCTGACCACCATGACAGAGCTCGTATCCTTCCTGTTTACACTCGTGAGAGCGGATGAGCAGCTGGAGTCCATGTTGGAGCAGCAGCCGCTGGGTGACGTCGGGGCCGAAGTAGCAGCCTCCACCTCTGAAGGTGTTGGGGCTGCAGCCTTCTTGGGTTTTGGGATCGCTCCACAAAACATCCACTATCTGCCAGAGAGGTAAGTGCTCAATGAGATGAGGCAGAACAGAACAATATTCTTCATTTCTTTTCCACACTCCTCTGACCTGTTTCCACTCCTGTTCGTTCTGTGGAGGTGATGGAAGGGGAACAGAAGTGAGAGAGTCCAGGAAAGGCACTTGTAGGACATTGATGGAGTAGGGCACATTGGGAGAAGATGAACATGGGCGAGGTGAAAGGCAGGACGGAGTTCGAGGAGAGCAGAGCGAAGAGGAGGAGGAGGAGGATGACGAGGAGGAAGAAGTGGAGGTGACGCTGTCTTGTCGGCTGAGCCCACACCTCCTCTTCCTACAGAAAAAAAGAGAAAGAGAAAGAGAAAGAGGCTCTGACTTTAAACAAGAAGTGTAATTGTACACTGCCCTTAATAAAAACCATCTGACGTGTGAGTGTTCGTGGCTGCTGTCAGACCTCTGCTTCGGAGTTATTTGGTTCTTGCTGTGGCTGCGACTGCTGCTGGGACGAGAGCCGTCTGTTGATCTCAGTCTCTTGGTGAGTCTGTAGGACTGGCCGATGTCCAGCTGCTCCAAACTGCGTCTGGGAAATCTCAGGGCAGATTTCACCTACAACACCAGAGAAGGAAAGACAAAAATATACTGGAAACAAAGGTTCTTGGTCAGGTTCGAGGGAAACATACAATATTTTTTAAAGACTGAAAATGAAGCATATACACAGCCTTGGTACAGTGATTAGCAAGCACTCTCTTTAGTTCTTTTCTGTTTTATTCCTGACTCTCTTGACTTTTTTTTTTTTTACAAATTAACCTTCTGAACCCTAAAACCTGCCAGTGGATTTGAAAGCATGTTGTCTTAAAAAAAAAAACAAAAAACCAAATTGTGCCATTTATCAGAGCCAGAAATAGTAAAAACTGAAAGAATTACCAGATTTTGAATGAGTAGTTCCTTGAACTACTCATCCATTTGGTTGGATAACTTAAAAATCTAACCTTAAAGTCATGATTTTTCATCAAAATAACTTTATTCTACATGTCTCAATTATTATTAATATAATAACAATAATAATAATAATAATAATAATAATAATAATAATAATAATAAATGTCAAAAACAAACCATTTGATCTAAAGAGTCTGTAAAAAATATTTAAAAAATTGTGCTCCTCAATGCAACCAAGGAATGAATTCCTGGACTTCTTGGCTGATCTCAGCTGAACTGCAGGCAGTGTTTAGAGAGAGTAGATAGAAGATGATTGTGGAAACAAATAGAAAATGTAAATACTGAAATACCTACAGTATGTAGATTAACCATTTTCTCCAAGAAGTGCTAACACCTGACAACACTGAAAATACTGTAAATGTTCATTTCAGGTTTTTGCAAATTTTGCCAGAAAAATAGAGGATAAGGCACAAAGTACAAAGATCAAGTAACAAAGCACAAAGTAAAAACACAGCATCGCAAACGAAGCTTTTAAGTTATGGTTATAGAGTTAAGTCTTGTCAAGCAATGCTAAAAATGCTATCAGTTTCATCCTGGCAACAGAAAACACTCCTCTGAGCCACCTTCGAAAACATGACAGAGCCACTGAAATAAGAGAAGCATGTCTCCAAATGCTTCTTGCTCCAAGTCTGGCAGATATGAAGGTAACAAACTGTTTTTATGTTACCAGAGCAACATTTGTGTGTGATGGTTGTAAATCTATCAGTATTTTTTCTGACCCCTAGTGGCCAAAATGGATTATAGCAGCAAACCTAGCAGCGTCAGTAAAAAGCAAGTAGATTTACTTTTCCTTTTCATCAAAACCAGTTGTTTTTTTTCCCTGAGTCTCCTTGGATCACCCAGACCTGGATGACTAAGAATTCACAAAAAGCAACACTGATGAATGTCCTGCTTGCTTTCACTGACCTTGTGCCTCTCTATGGAGCTGAGGAAATCCAGGTCAGTCTGGTCTGAAATCCCTCCATGAACAATCAGGACCTTTCCATCGATCACCGTTGCGACAGGCAGAAGGCTGAAAACATCCTGAAACAGCTGAAGGATCTCACGGCCGTGAGTCTGCATTAAAAAAAAAAAAAAAAGGAATTCATTTTGCTCCAGTGGCTGAAACAGTGACCTACCTAAAGATTGTACAGCTAAAGGCAGAATAATGACGTAAATCTGGACTTACCTTGTATTTCTGCATGACCTCCTTTGTGAAGCCATATCTGAAAAAAACAAAGTAATATCACCACACTGACATAGTCTTCTAATTTTACTGCCTTCGTGTTTGTGGTGAACTCAGATGGATCAATCCCATTTCTCCTCTTCTTCCTTCTCACCTGAGGTTCATGATGTAGTCTTCGTGGTTTCCTCGGTTCAGGTGCATGTTGTCCGGGTAGAGCAGAAGGTAGGCGAACAGGAGGACGACCACTTCAACTGACTTCTTCCCACGGTCCACAAAATCCCCGTTGAATACATACGGCGTCTCTGCAGAGGGAAGGCCATTCTGCAGCAGCAACATACAGCAAAGTCAGATCAGCTGGGTCTTATATGCTGCTAAAGTAAACTGTTAAGACGAGAATACAGCTTTACCTTATAAAATATAAGAAGTAAGTCATCGAGCCGGCCATGCAGATCACCTGTACCAAAAGAAACAGCTTCATTAACCCCGGATTTACAAAGGAAGTCTAAAATTCCTTAATGATATGAAAACAGGACAGCGAATTGCTTCACATCACCTCAGCAGTGTGTGTTTCTTGTTGTTGTCACAAGTATTCTTGAGTTTAATGAGATGCAACTTTATAGGAGGAGGCAGCAGCAAGACGACTCAAGTGCCTGATCAGTGTGCAAATAAACAGAGACCCTCTTTTCTTTCTTTCTTTTTTTGTTTTAGAATGCTGCCATTAAGACACAAATGTATTTGAAAGCACATTTAGAGAACCCAGTAATGATTTAATAAGCAATAATAAGCAGGTTTATTGGGTTGTTCAGTAGCTCACGGCACTGCGTGATGCAGGAGCAGCATCACAGCATCACAGCATCAAAACATTATGATGAGATTCTTAAAATTTTAGTGTGAAACGTGAAATCTTTCAGTATCATGGGTAATATTACTTATTGTCTCATTATCATTGCTAGAATACTTTACATGTTTCTAGCTTATTTATTGTATTTCAGTAATGTATCATACATGTATCTTACTGCTTTTCTATTGAGCACTGTATTTATTCTCAAATTATGTCATTTGGCTTTTTTTTTTTTTTTTTAGTAATATCTGGCACAAGAATTTACGTCTGATTTAATAAAGTTTATTATCTAAAAACTACTGAGGCCGTGGTCACCCACCACATATAGTGATCTCTTTGGTGTAGGATGTTGACAGGTGGGTGATGTTTGGCATCTGTTTGAGGAGCTTTTTGGTCTCGTACAGCAGCTGCAGAAGGTATCTGGCATGTAGAGTCTGTGGAGTAGAAAAGAAATGAGTAAACCAGACAATTAAAAAAATAGCAGTGAGAAAGACCAAAAGGCTCATATCTGGTACCTGCTGTTCCTTAAAAGCAGTGAGGAGAGCGTTCGTGTCAGAGACGGAGAGAGGAAACGACAGCCTGGGCCCAGAGTAAGACTCTGGAACAGGGATGAGGTTATAGCAGATCTCTCTGTCCAACCAGGGATCGACCACCGGGTCCAGCAGCTGGGAGATCAGGTCTGGTGGAGACAATGTGTGAAGCTGGAAACAGGCTCGACTCAAGATGTATTTACACTCATGTTCTTTGAAATTAACCTTCTGAACCTCAAAACCTGGCAATGGGTTTAAAAAGCAAGTTATCTTTTTATTTTATTTTATTTTTTAAAGATGGCAAAAATCACACTATTTACCAAAATCAAAAACTGTAAAAATATAAATAATTGTTAGTGTTTTTTTTTTTTTTTTTTTTAACTTTCCGATTGTCCTTGACCTAATAATCTGTGATGTGCCGTTCTGAAGGGAAAATTAACCAAATGTAATGTTTCATTATCACTTCATCCTAAAAAAGAAATGCCAAAAATCAAATGTTTTCTTTAACCAGACTATTTTAAAAGTAAAAGAAACATGCACTCCTCAGCACAACCCTGAAGTCATTAGTAACCTACTGCGACCAACAGTACCTGACAAAAATTCAGACTTTATGGGCAAACTGGACTGAACTTCCTTCCATCCATCCATCCATCCATCCATCCATCCATCCATCCATCCAGTCACGGGACACCCTGGACAGGTCGCCAGTCTACCACAGGGCCACACTTAGAGACAGACAACCAAGGACACTCACATTCTCACCTATGGACAATTTAGAATCACCAATTAACCTCAACATGTTTTTGAAGACTGTGGGAGGAAGCCGGAGAATCCGGAGAGAACCCACGCTGCACGGGGAGAACATGCAAACTCCACACAGAGAGATCCCAGGTGTCCTCACATGGATGCAAACCGGTGACCTTCCAGCTGCGAGGTAAGGGTGCTAACCACCTTGCAGCCTTTGGATTGAACTTGGAAAGTTAAAAATGTCTCTAGTAAAATATCTGTGTATTAGCAAAATCTGTGGCCACTTGGATAAATGCTGTATATGTTTTATTTGTTGTTGTTTGTTCTTTTTCAATTTTTGTCAAATAGATAATTAGAGAAATTCTACATTTTCTTTTTGTATGATTGATGGTAGGATAATTTTGGTATAAAGGATAAAAGACATTTATCAGTCTTTGCTGTACTATAGATTGCAGTGATACATGAGCGCACAGTTTAGGAAAAAAAGCCCAAAAGGTCAATTAAAATTAAAGCTAGGAGGTCAACAAACATACAATCTCATCTTAATTAAGGCACAGTGTGAAAATGGTGCACAGCTTTTCTTCTGCTTTATACACAAATTCATTGTACTGTAGACTCAAAAATTGAAATTCTAAAAATAGGCAATATCATTTAATCCTATTCAACAATATACTGTTGGATACAACTGATATGTCTGTTTATGGCCAAACCAGCAGACTGAACAGCTGACAAATGGAGGTAATCCAACACTACGATAAAGTAATGCTGTTCATAGATGTGCAACCTGATCAACAGCGGTCTAAAACAAGAGATGCTGGAGTGGTCTTGGGGAAGAGTTTCCACATTTTAATCAAAGGTCAAAGGTTATTCAGAGTGTAAAAGCCGTTCAGGGAAAATTTGTGATACAGGATATTGGGTTTTATAGAAAGACACTCATACAGTATGTAATTTTGTACTGTATATCACCTGCCAGGTGAGATACACAGTTCAGGTATAACCAACATTAAAAGAAAGATGAAGAATCCCGACACTGTTTTATGCTGGTCTAAGATCTGGAACTACTGCAAAGTTCTGATCCTTTATGGTTCGCTGTCGGGCCTGATGATGGACTGAAACTGTAAATGTGAGCGCCAGTGTTTGTAGTGCTACTGAATATGGAATAAGAAAAGATACGTGTGGTGTTGCAATCAGACGACATTCTGAACTACAACATATTTAAATGTGTTAGATTAGATTTTAAACAGCTTGACACAGCATCACATCCTGCTCCGTGTGACCTCACTGAGTTGTATTAAAAGGCCACTCAACAGTAATGAAAACTGATGGGCTCTGATTTATGCAAATAAACAAGGCAGGAACAGACACCTTCCTATGGGCCCAATTCTCTTTTGTGAGGCTGTTCTGCCCTTAAATGTCCTTTATTCCATCTCACACGTACAAAAAACCCACAGATGCTATATATAATAAATACAGACAACAGCGTCTGGCCTCTTTGCATCTCTTATGTCGACTTGGCGTGAAACCCGTGAAGAGGATGTTCAGCAGATGATGAGCAGCGAGGACCGACCTAAGGATTACCTTGTCAATGAAGTATTATGCTTTTAGCTGGATGAGTGGGTCAAAACACACTTAAAGCACAGCTGTTTCAGAGCAACACACCAACATGCTGGCCTCCACTCACATTCACAGCAGTTGCTAAGCAACAGGGCATACGCAGTGGGTTTTCTAATCCAGACCAAAATACAGTGGTGTGACAAAACTGGTGTTAATTTGGTGCAAGTAAAAAAAAAAAATCCATGTTTATATGCAATTTTTCTGTGTTGTAACAAATTCAAAACAACAAGCATTTAACAATAAACTAATAAACTAATGATAGAATTTCACGTCTAACTCTTTGTATTTACCTTAAAATTAGGGATCTTTACATAAAAGCAGCATTAAATAAACCCCCCTCCAGAGGTTATATTGACAACGGCACAAAAACAAACAAAATGACTAATATTAACAAAAATGTAGCTTTCACAACACTGGAGACACAGACTGCCTGGTAAACACTATTAGGCAGGAATACTTAACACAGAGAGACCAAAATAAAACAAGAGGAATAAAATTTTGTAGTTCCTGCTATCACTAAAAAAGAAAATAAAAGCTTTACCCAACATCCATATGGCAGCACTATGACAAAATATGCTTTTACTTTGAAATAAAACTAACATTACCTCAATGTTTCCAAGGACGAAACCAGTATTTTCAATACACATATTGGTTACTAAAGTCAATTTAGTGTATTTTGGATATTACCTGGCCCATTTCCATTCAGCTGAGTGACGCTGTCCAGCATAAAACTGAAGAAACTCGACAGCTGAAGAAAACAAAAAACATGTTTAAGTTTTAAAATAATTCTGAAGTGTAGCACCCATGTGCAGTAAAAGCTTTTTCAGTGTTAGGAAATGCCAATACTGGGACACACCTGTAGCTGGTCTTGTTCTCCAGCGTATTCAATGGACTGAAAGATGTTCCAGGTGTATCTGCGTCTCATCTCCAGTCGGGCCATGTAGCGACGGTACCATCGCTGGATCAGAACAGCTGCCTTCATTGCTGCAGCAAAGCACCAGCTGTTATTTACAGCCGACACTTGTTGTCATTTGTAGAGTCATATACATACATAAAGATGGATGTATATCATGTTTAAGACTCTTTAGCTGGTATTTATCAGCAGTTTGCCAAGCTGTCAATTCAACATTACTCCAAACAAAGCTGTGATGTTATCGTACACATGGTGCAGCCTTTGTATATATATGTAAAGTGTTAAAATGCACACACACAGTTTACACACATACTGTATATCACAGGTTCATCTTTAAAGATAAGCAGGGTCTTACTCAGAGCAGGACTGGGCATCTGGACTGTTTCATCTGTGAGAAAGAAATACTACAATTCAGCAAAAGAAACTGGTAATTGAATAAAATAACGCTCAAGCGAACGCATACACAGACACACTCAGACAGAAGGAGAGATAACAAGACACAGGGGAGGTTGTGTGCAACAGTGGGGACTGGAAAAACTAAGCAAATTAAACAAGCTTTTGGGAGTAACAGCACTCATTAAAAAGGAGGAGAGAAGGCAGACTGCGACCAAAGAGAAGCACCATCTGTCAAACATCTGTGTGCACGCAACAAGTGGGAAATTTACTACAGCAAAAATATGATCGTCAACACGGCACACGGTGTGACGGAGACGAGTGAAATGCTAAAGCAGAACAGTGGAGTCACGACTGCTGTTAATAATGCAACACTCGAGGAGCGCTTCTTAATAATGTTGCTGAATGCTTCACAGGGAAGATCAACACGATAAAAACAAACCAAAGTCGGTGCTGGAATAAAGTCAGTGGAATAAATAACAAGGTGGTTGCTGAAAGGAGTTCAGTTAGATGTCTGGGAGGAAAGATTATTCAGAATGTGTAGTTTTTAATAGGGCTGAAGCTAAGGGTTATTCTTGTTATTGACTGGCCCTCTAAGACCTAGCTCATTCATTCGTTTATGTATTGTCTCGGTGCATAAAGACTGGGACTACTGGGCAGTGGAAGTATTCAGAGTACTAGTACCACATTGTGAAAATACTCCACTGCAAGTATAAATGTGGATTTAAAACCTTGTATTACTATGCGAGAATTACAAGCACAAAATACTTCAAATATGAAAACTAAAAGTACTTATTCTGAAGTAAAATGGACGCTGTCAGTGTTCTATTATACTATATGTACTATTATATATGAAGTTTGAGGTTAATATTGCTCATACTGCTGTGGATGTTTCAAGTTATGATGTTGGGTAATTTAATCTACTGCATCACGATCTGTTCAGTAGAGAAACAAAGATTCTTAAGGACCAATCCCATCCTGGACACCATCTGTTTGACCCCTACTCTCAGGCAGACGCCTCAGGTCCATCAAATCACAGACAAACAGGCTGAAAAACAGCTTCTGCCTCAAAGCCATAAGACAACCGAACTCCAACGCTAACTGTCTGGACCTGAGCAACCACTAGCAACTTACTTCTGATTAAGTTTGTTGCAAAATTTGCACTGATAATAAAAATGTATTGTATTCTATCATGTTCTATAAGATCAGCATGTGTCTGTGACCTGCAGGAATCACATATGTACAGAAAGTCAGCCCAGTTTTCAGCTATATGATGATGTATTTCACAGCTAATCCAAGAGGGGAGTTTAAAATTTCCCCATTTTTGTTGCCGATGTAGCAACCGATTTTCTGGAAAATAAAAAAATTCCCACCAATGTATTTTACAAACCAGTTAGCAGCTTGTTGTGTTATTGTGAAGACACCATTTGACTCTGCACCACTGTCTGCTCAATTACATGTGCTGCAGACGGTGCTGAGAGAATTTTAAACAATGCTCTCAGAATGCTGGACAAACTGTATGATGACACTCTTCTTAAATAACCTTAAATATGTTTTTCTGTATTATGCTTTGTACAAAAAAAGTTTTCACATCAACAACATATATGCTGATACACTGAACAGGCCAACGATCAAACCAATACATTGATCTGGCTCTGCTTCATAAAGCCTGAGAATTAAGAGAATGTTGTCAACTCTAGAGGGAACACTTCATCTTTCAGTTCATCACAGACAATCACATTTTGGAGATGGATGTTAAGCAGTGTGATTGTAAATTGTAATAGCCTGAACATGTAGTGGAGTAAGAAGTACAATATTTGCCTCTCAGATGTGATGGAGTAGAAGCAGAACGTAGCGCAAAATGGAAAATACCTCAAATTTGTATTCCTGTTCAGTCCCTGTGTAAATGCACCTACTTAGATTCCACCACGACTGACATATTATCAGTCCTAATGAAGGAGTGCTCCTCACCTAATAGAGAGGTACAGATAATAATACACTAAATTAGGTAAATAATATCCTGAAATCTACACCCCTAGCATTATTTTGTACAAATTAATTGTTTACTAAACGGGGGAAAAAATGCTCATCACAATTTCTCCATGATGACATCTTCAGGTGTGTTGTTTTGTCCATAACGCCCAAAGATATTCAGTCTCTAATTATATAAAATGAGAGAAAGGTAGAGGATCTAAATGTTTTGAAAAGCTGCTAGTAGAAAATATTTGGGATTAGGCTTCTAGAAAATGACTACAATTCTTAATTAGTATTCAAAATAGCTGATTTATTTAATCACTTCTGTTTCAGTTTAAGAAATTGCTTTAATTGGAATGAAAGCAAATGAAAGTGTGTGTAAGGAGGCAGAAATAGGTTTCACACCATATTCTCTTTTAATGGGTTTTGATGAATCAACTTGCATATTTCTGAGCCTGCACTCCAATTAGTGACACTTATGGACTATTTGTGTTCAGCTCCAGGTGTACGAACATGCCAGCTCTAATTTGATGTCATTATGTTTATTCACACCTTTTCTCAGGGGCAACAGGTGCTAATGTCAACATTTTCCTGCTGATACAAAAGGAAAAACACGAGACCGAAAAAAATACCGCCAACTAAACAGGAACGTTCTATGCACGACATCTTTACCTCTTTCCACTCTTTTCCCTTGTGTTTCCGTGGCGACAGAGGTGCCACACCCCATGATGTCCGGCAGAGAGGCCCAGGGAATCACATCAGTCGGTTCTTCCCAACCTGGTAGCAGTGCATCACATTGGGTTGGTCGCATGTGGCTGCTGCAAGGACGCCTGGAAAGTAAGAACACCACTGTTGGTGCGTGAGCCACACTCCAAAAAATGATGTTTTAGCTCAACAGCAACAAAGAAATAGTGCAACAAGTTTGTAGCAATTTTTCTGAGGTATGAAAATTCTCCTGAAATTATGTTTAACCAACAAACTAAGGCATTCTTAGTTAACTATTGTAGCTGTCGGGACATCTTGAGCTCAAAATAAAGTTATCAAGGACATTTCAACAGGCTACCTCAACTTGAATTTAGTTTAAATTCAACTAATGCAGAACTTTGTGTTTAACTTACACAAACTATTAAGTTGATCCAATTACTATAACAATATTACATCAACCCAACCCATGCAACTTAAAAGGTAAATCTGCATCTTTCTTTTTTTTCTTTCTTTTTTTACATCTTGCAATCATGCATTTATTTAAGTGGAGCAGATCCCCTGAACTAGTTGTCAGAGTGCAGACCATTCTGACATAAACAGCTGTTTATCTTTTTTTTTTTTTTTTTAGGATAATGGAAATACTTTTGAAAAATCTTCCTTTTAATGTTCCACCTAAACCACATGTGCTGTAGTACAATGATTGCTATCAACATGCTTGTAACCAAACTGTTTACTGCTATTCCCTTATTTGTTTTTTTAAGTTAAGACTCTATCATTCACTCACAGGCTTGAATTTACTTGGCAACATATTGGGCAAAAACGATGGCAGAAAACTACATTTAACGTGTAAATAAATGGCTGCTATGGTCAGGCTTGAACAGATCAGGTGGGGAGGGGGAAAGGCACAGACAATCTAATTAAAAAGATAAATGTTGCTTATTTGTGCATCACCTTTTCCCACTGCATCATAATCCAGCGACGTGCTCGGTTTTGCGCGTCCAGTCCCAGTAAATCAGCTCCACTGGTTCCCAACCAGCAGCCTGCATCCGCGGGATCCGGAAATCATGAATGGGAAGAAGAGTTCATCTGAGACACGAAGACAAAGATTTCCCCTCCTTCGGTGACATATACGAGAGGTTTGAATGAGGAAACGTAGTGAAGCGCTCCTGGAGAAGCTGCCGCTGCTGCAGGAGGCGCACAGAGGAGGCGGAGGCAGCATCAGGTGGATCCAAAGCGCAAACACAAGAGTCTGTGGGAGGGGAGCTGCTGTCACCTCCTTCTCTTGCGCCCCTCTGAAAACATTCCCCCAGGTAGGTTCCACCATGATTCAATTCACTCCCAAAAACATCCCTTTTTTCCCCCTTGTCAGTTTTGTAATAGTGTCCATCAGATTGCGCCATGTGTAGCTTCTCTGCGCCAAATGTGGAGACAGTGCTGCCTTCTTCCTGGTTGGAGAGGAAATTCGCGGCCCTCAGAGGATGAATATGAAGTAATTATTTCAGTGACATTTACTTTGGCACAATCCTCAGGCTAATTAGGAGAGGTTTAATCAAAATTTTGTTCTCTGGTTGGCCATTTTGGTGGCTGCTGCAGTTTTTTTCTTTAATGTGTGTAGTCTTCCACAGATCCTCAAAGTTCTCAGCCTCACAAGGAGACAAAAGGTGCCACTGCCATTTTAGGGCTTAACTGTTTCCTATAAAGTCTTATATCACTGTCCACAAAAACAACAACAACAACAACAAAAACCAGCACAGGTGGTAAAAGCAGCCATGACACTTGGAACTGTAGCCTCATGCACATTTGAACTGGCACCATCTTGTAGATGTCAGATGTTGCTGGTCAAAGCTTTCTTCTCCTTGTAAAAAAAAACAAACCCAAACATTTGAGTTTTTGTAATCAGTGATAAGGCATTATGTTTGCAGTTCTGCTCCAAAGTGGGAGACACACCCCTTGTTTCTGGGTGAGGCAGAGAAGTTTTTGAAGCACCCGTGTGCTTTTCAAATTCTGCACCCACTTGTGTGGGCAAAGCAAAAGTAGCCCAATGATGACAGAACAGAAAAAGTCAAGCTCAAAGTTGACATTAAGAGTTTAGTTAAAAGAACTACTTTAGAGCAAGTGGGGACAGATTTTTTCCAGCTGAAACATTTGTCTTGCTTTAAAACACAACTAAACTGTAGTTTTATTTTTTTAAGGGAATTCCAAATGTGAGCAGATCAGATGTTAATGTAGTTGACCTCAAAGTGAAAGCTCATCTTCTAGCTCAGTTTTGTTCTAAAAGACCCAGAAAAAGCAGCCAGATCAAATGTTGTCCTCCTGAAGTAAAAAATAGGTGGTGGTAAAAAAATAAACTAAAAAAAAAGTGACCTCACCACTTAAAGACATCTAAGAAATGCAACCTGACTTTCTTCCAAAAGTTTCTAACCTAAACCCATGACAACACCTCATCATCTCAACTTGTGTGCAGTTTGTCAGTAACACTGTAGAATTCCGTCAACAAATTAAAAATTTTAATAAAAACTCTTTAATAATTAAAAGCAGTAAGGCTCAGTTTGGTTAAAGTCCATCTCTTCATGCAGCAGCTCTCGTACGGATCTTCTGCTGCACAAGTGTGACGGCAGCGTCGATCTCCTGCGCAGTGATGATTTTCAGTCTGTTGGTTTTGGACAGCCGAGAAGCCTCTGAGCTCACCAGTCTGAGCAGGACCGGTTTGGGAAAACTGAGCCGACCGGCCAGGAAGTCCAGATTCCTTATTCCAGCCTGGCTCACCTGCAGAGAAGATGGAAAAATCAAGAAAGAGTATCACTTAAAAGACTTCTTACACCGAGACCTTCACAGGCCAGACTAACAGGATTCTCTTAATCTACCGACTGAAGCTGCTTTCGTGGAGGTTCTGACCTCTTTATGAGCTCTGTAGATGAGAGTGGAGTGACCTTGACTCCTTCTCTTTGTTTGTGGAGGAATCTTGCGCGTAGTTGTGACAGGAGCCTTCATTTTGCTGGATCACTTTTGTTGAAAACAGTCACTGAAGTTAAAAAAAAAAACCCAACTGATGGCACTTAGAGCAGCAGCTTGGCCACTGGCAATGAGAGCAGGATATAAAAGAGTGAGCGGGGACTGAGGAGGATGTTTTAATGAACACAAATTGAAAACAGCTTTGCTTAATTAGGCTTAATTACATTCACCCACCTGGCTTTAAAATCCTCCGTGTGAGTTCAGGCGTCTTTAGCCTGAATATCTGCAGGAAGGAGTCAAAGCAGAGAACTGCTGCAGTTTGATGTGAACATTGCAGATGATGGCATTTAGTCACTTTAATCCACATTTTTCAATCATCTACAATATTTACAAACTCATAAAACAGTTTCACCAAAGAATAAACACACATCTTTTAATTCTGATAGAAGCAGAAGTATTTTTCATGTTAACTTTACCTCCTACATGCTTGCAAATCTGCTGAGCTTCAGGAAAAACAGATAAAATGTAAAATCTAGATCATCTTTATCCCACGCTTACTATAACTTATTTTAGCTAGGGTGACCAAGCGTCCTGTTTTCTCAGGACATGTCCTGTTTTCACATCCTGTCTTGGCCGTCCTGGTTTTTTTTTTTTATAAAGTGATGAAAATGTCCTGAAGGAGGCATACTTTAAATGTATTGAAATTATAAGGCATCTCTGAGTAAACTTCGAGTATCATTTGAGTATCTCATTGCTGGATCGAGTGTCTTTGTTTTTAGTAGTCAGAATGTAGTCGCCCTATTTTAGCAACATTTAACTTTTTGTCTAGTGGAAAAAGGTAAGTTGTGTTTGAAATCGTAATTTTCTTTACTTTAATATCTGTATTAACAATGATAATATGAGGGAGTGGTCGTTCTTAAGTGAAAAGTTTCCACATTTAGGCTTTTCCCTTCTTTACTAATCAGCAGAGATAGAAACTCACAGAGGAGCAAAATCATGTCATTTTGTAAGATATTGGATCCATATTTTTTTTTCATTTTGCATCTTTTCTTAAAAAAAAAATAAATCTGCTTTGTGATTGACTCTGAGGGGATGTTGAAGTGCAAGCAGATTCTTTTCTAAAGTTCATTTAATCTCATTGTGACACTCCAATAATTAAATTCTTTGGCGTATTAATCTTGGATTACTAAACCTCATATTACAAAAAAAAAAAAAAAAATCTGACAACAATATATCTGGGGATATTACTTTTTCTGTTGTTTAAATTTGCTTTCGAAATATTTGTGACCAAGGAATGTCCTGCGTGGGATGTTTACTGTTTAACAATGAATGAGAAAGTCAGTATTATGGCAAAAATGTGTGATACGTACCAGCTGACATATTTTGTCATATTTGTGATAAGGTAATATCAGCCATTTCTCAGCTTGCTTAAAAAAAACTCCTTTAGATTTATGTATTTATTTTTACCATTGTGTGATTCTTATCTCTTATTCTGCCTTTTTCCTTGGTGTGTTTGGATATTCAAATTTAAACAATAATGTAAATGAAAAATGCAGCAAATACATGAAGCTGCAGATTCATCCGAAAGCAGGCTTATGACACGACATAAACCACCACTAACCTCCCTTTACTCTCACTCTCTCGCACACACAAACACAGACACACAACCCAGATCTGTCACTTGACCGTGCCGGCGTTTTGTTTTGTGCTGCAGGATTTTTGACTTTGACCCCTGCTCTCCTTTTCCCGGACGTGTGCTGATCCTGATGGCGCTGATGGTGGTCGGCGAACGGCTGTAGGAGGGGCTTCGTCAGATAAGGATGGCATTAGGTAAGGCCATTAGCGTCCTGTGGATTATTGTAATCCAGCCTCTCTATCACTGTTGGCTTAGCTGCTCAGTCTGCGGTTGGTCTCGTCTGGTTTGGAGCAGGTTGGAAGATGGCTCTCAACATGCAACGTTTCCTGCTGGCTCTGCTTCTTCTGGGAGCTAACGGTACAATTTCAGTCTTTACGCTCTGATCTTAATCCGTAGTTGAGTTTTCAATCCGCAGTATGTGTTTGTGGATATTTTACAAGCTTCAATTTAGTGAAAGTTATTTCAAGATGTGTTGGAGAGACACTCTGACAATCTCAAATGTCAAACTGGTTCTCAGCAGAGACTGTAACATTTTTATAGGTTTCACTTAGATCATGCTTCCTTTGGTGACATTGGGATTGATTCAGTGTGTCTATGTTGTGTTTATTTACCTTTTCTTATTGTGTTTAAACAGACAGATTGATGTACAGATTTTATTGCCAGAATTGTGTCTTAACAGTCTTTCTTTTTTCCTGTGTGCTTCGTCGGCCGACTCTATTTTCCCTCTGTCTGGACAGTGTGCATCAGCATTCATGCTCAAGAGGTATGAAGGAACCTCAGCAACAGAATGAAATGACAGAGAACATTTTAACTATTAAGAGTGTTAAAATCAGCAGAATCTTTTTTATTTTTTTTACACACATTAGACACATTTCAGCCAAGAATTGAATAACATCTCTCCAGTTAACATTAGTCAAAGTTAAATGATCTTCACTAAAAACACACTGGATATCTGCTGTCATGGTATTGTAGAAATTTTAGCCTCTTTTCTGCTTCATAGTCATCCAAGGAAATATTCTTTTTTTAATCTTTAATTTTTTGCTGTATTTTAAAATGAATGGTATTTGTGGTACATCTGATGATGCTGTTTTGGATTGCACGTATTAAATGTTGTTTGTGTGTGTTTATGTGAGGCCGGTACATCTGAAGCGTGGACCAGCAAGTCTTGCAAATGCGACTGCGAAGGAGAATCCCCAACTGAGTTTTCCGCCATCGCATCTGGCTCTTCTATGGTGCGAGGAGTGGATTGCATGCCAGGTGAGAGCCTCAACAAATACAATTGTCTTTCTGAAAAAAAAAATCCTTACCTGGTGTTTTGTTAATTAAGAATTAATTTTGCTGTAAGAAATTACATGTCACATAACACTACACGTTCTAAATGCCATGTCTTGAGATGTAATTTCTGATGAAGCCAGTGTTTGACCTCAAAAAGCAGTAGTTCTTTTAATGAGAAGTGAAATATTCAGATATTGTACATGCAAAGAAGTGAGCTGACTGAGAGAGAGGACAAGACAAGAATAAAAATGTTAGATGTCCGCCTGTTTCACCTTCTGCAGCTATGCGGCTAACGAGTATTTTTTTTCTCCAGCGATTAATCTGCAAAATATCTTCTCAGTTAGTGGAGAAATCCAGAGAAAACACTGTAGAATCATATAGGACTGCAAATCATCACATTTAAGAGGCTGAAACCACCAATTTTGTGGCAATTTGCTTGAAAAACTAATATTTAACCTTCAAAATATTGTAAAGCTAAACTTCCATTGATCGACTGAATAAGTGACAGACAAATCATTTAAGCTCTACACTGCAGATGGATGGAGCATTTGAAGGCGTGTGCATTTGTGTCTGTGTTAAGGGAATCTCTATATGTACATGCACATGGATGAGTGCATTAGCCTCCAGATTTGACGCCACAGGGAGGCCATGCTCCACTGGACATCCTCAGAGAAGGTGATGCAGATGGAGCCATGGATAAAAACAAAGAACCTCCATCAAGGCTGCACAATCCTCTCCATTTATTGATTCAATAACAGGAAATGTGGTCTGGATTTTTATCTGTGCAATCTAGACAGTCGAGACACGTGGCAGATTTTTTTTAGTGTTCAAGTTCAAAAATCTTTTAAAAATACAGTTTTGCAGCGTTAATTCTTGCCCTTGGATACAAAACAATCTCACGACTATGGCCATTAGAATCTGGTCAGCATATGGAGACGTTAATTGTTTTAGATCACCTTTAGCATTCTGTGAAATCTTTGTTTTTTAAACCTCCTGCAAAGAAACAAGCCAAAAAACGTGTCTGATGGCTCAGTGCGCCGGACATCTTCAGGTCAGATATCATGTCAAACCTGAAGATGGGAAGAGGACAGAATGGACGTACAAGTGACTCCGTTTACGCCAACCGAGCCACAAATCACATGGCAACCGGTGATGGGACGGGAGAGAGAAGTTCTGCAGATAATCATTATCTCAGAACATGATGCAGAGATTACGGGGCTTGTAATAGACTGAGCCGATCACACAATCACAGAAACCAGTAATTACCCCCACATGAACCCGGTGATGATAGATGGTGAGCGAGAAAGACTTTCCTCTGCACTGCTTCAGAGCTCCTGTCGCCTCAGTTCACTGTGTCTCACCTCATGGTTTGTACCGTTAATTCTGCCATCTGAACGTGCTTTGTTTTAGTCAGGAAGTACATGAAGGAGTACTACAGAGGCATTCGTATTACTGTTATGTAAACACTTATCTCCTGACTCACACAGAAGCTTCTGCTGTAAGCGTTGTAATACTGGGATTAGACAGTATGCGACCCTGTGCCAGATAGGCTTAAGCCAGTAGTAAACAAAAGCGCAGCAGGCTACACCAGTTTCTCTTCCATATGTCCACAACTGATGTGTTTCTCACTCAGGGACAGCCTCGTTTCTCATTCATGTATTTAAAGAACATGTTTACCGAGTCACCAGATGAGTTGCTCTCATTTGTTTTTAATGCAAGTGGAAAAAAAAAAAACACGAGAGCAACACGAAGCTAAAGCTGTGGAGAGTAGAACATGGCCATCTGTCCGCCTGCCGCCCTAATGGACATCACTGATCTCTCACTGTGGAGAATTAAACTGCAGGCTTTTAGGATGGGGATATGGGTCACACTGGGACTGCTAACGGCAGGGGCCTCGGGAGCGGGAGGGTGTGAGGATGGGAGTCAGCAGGGGTGAGGAGAGAGACGAAGAGGACGGAGAGATGGAGAATTAAGAATCCAGAGAGGCTTAGCGATGATCATTTGATATTCATGTTTCAGCGGTTTGCTGCACGGCCGTGTTTACGTCTGTCAGCGTGACCTTAAAATCCGTGGAGGTCTTTAAGTGATAAACAGTCATATTAACAGAAATAGAGATTTAAACTGAGACCTCTCCTTTTATGTCGGCTCTGATCCCTTTGCAGAGTGTCTATACCACAAGCCTCTTGGCTTTGAGGCCGGATCTGTGAATCCTGACCAGATCACCTGCTCCAACCAGGACCAGTACACCGGCTGGTTCGCTTCGTGGCTCCCGAGCAAGGCCCGGCTCAACAGCCAGGGCTTTGGGTAGGTCCAGACCAACAAAGAGTCTAAGACAATGACCTATCTGCAGATGATGTAGACAGACTTATTTACAAATATGTATTTTTAATTCCTGAGGTTATCAAGACCTATTTGTTTTCATTTTAACTCAAAAATGTTCCTTTTTTTAACCATGTATGGTTAACTGTTCTATCTCATTTTAAAAAAATGTTTTAGCTCCCACCATCTGTGACAAACAGTATAAGAGTGATCATTACATATGGTGCATGTGGAAAGGTTGACACGCCAATATGCGCTTGCTTAAAACATTAAATTATAAATAAGACAGGCAGTACAGTATGCTTAATGAAACAGGAGGCACTGAGGAGCTGTTGTGCCAAGCTATGCAGGATTTGTCCGTTCAGTTTCACTAAAACATTGAAATATTAATCTAGGTGGTAACTCCAGTTTTTATTTTCTACTTATATTAAAGGGAAAAGTTAAAAAAAGGATCATTTTAAATGTCTCCATTTAAGAAAATACATAGATTTATCAATGTCACGTCTTGTTTGGTGAGCTGGTTGAGTTAAGTTCAGTGTTAAGTGAGTAAAAACTGACAAATAGCTCAATTTAGTATAAACAGTTCTATCAGATTATCTCAGCAATTATTGTATCTGGTATTTTCCTGCAACCCTACAGAGGTTAAAGCGGTGCATAGAAAATGGATGGATGGTATTTTATGAAAATTAATTGATAATTAATTAATTAATTTTGCATCATTACAGAGACTTGGATGTCGTGTTAAGGAAGTGAGCAAATGTTCAACAGGGTGTTTTTATGTGTCACAGCAAGGAAAGCACAGGTGGAAATAATACAGTTTTGATGGCTGGAGTCCATCTCGCTTCGTCAGTTTCAGAGTTCTGCATTGTGTCGCACTGTTGTGACTCACTGTGGCTCTTTATCAAAATGTAGCAACTGTTTCCTGCTGTAACAGGTATAAACATCCGCTGTGAAAGAGGACTGCAAGATGAAGATCTATTTAGTTGCAAACCATCACTGCTTCTATTAAATGTCTGTGTTCGTCCTTCAGCTGTGCCTGGCTGTCCAAGTTCCAAGACAACACTCAGTGGCTGCAGATTGACCTCAGGGAGGTGATGGTGGTGTCGGGGATCCTCACTCAAGGCCGCTGTGATGCCGATGAGTGGCTCACTAAGTACAGCGTTCAGTATCGCTCGGACGAAAAACTCAACTGGATCTATTACAAGGACCAGACTGGAAACAACAGGGTTGGTTGAGGCAACATCTCACACAAGTTTTGGCTCCACTTAAATTGACAACACACGTTTCAGTTGTGCTGTTTGAAAACTTTAAACTGTGACATTTTCCCTTTAAAATGCAGAATGTTTTTTATCAGATCTGGACTAAATGGAGTATGTACAACACATATCTTAGCTGAACCCACCTGTGACTAGATACATCCAGCTCTCGTCGTCTACTTGTCTTTTTATTCTTTTTTATTGAATGATGTGAAGATAATTACAGAGAGTGAACTCCCCCCTTCTGCTGTTCTTATGCAGTAACAAAAGAATGATGTAAAAAATGAAAACACTGGAAAAGCAGTATGGTTTATATCGTTGTAAATGTGATATGCTTTGGAACTGTAAGAACTTGAAATAACTCCAAAACAACTTTATGTATGATTGGCCTGGCAGTGAATTGATGTGAATTCATGAAAAAGCTCCAATTTCCAATGTAATGACATTTAAACATGCTGTTTCATGGCTTTCACTGAACAATAGTTGATTAGCATTATTTTCATTGACTTCAGTGCTCACGTCCGTGTTGACTCAACACCCTGACCTCGGCTTTCTGTCTTCCCTCAGGTGTTTTACGGAAACTCTGACCGCTCCTCATCCGTACAGAACCTCCTGCGGCCGCCCATCGTTGCGCGCTACATCCGCATCCTCCCTCTGGGCTGGCACACACGCATCGCTCTGCGCCTGGAGCTGCTGCTCTGCATGAACAAATGCGTTTGATTCTGTCCTCCCGCCGTCCCCGAGGCCTTGTCCCCCCCCAAAAAAAACTACAACCAGAACCCACAGTGAAAGCCTCATCCTAACAGTGAATGTGGTGCGTGATTATATATCCACAGATTTGGCCCCCCGACCTGCCAAGCTGACCCTAAAATATTCAGCATGAAACCTTTTTAAAATACAAACAAAACAGTTAAAACAGACTTACACGCTTGCATTAAAATAGGTTTGTTTGATATGTACAGTGAGCTTTCATTCGCTCCACTCTGCATTGTCTGTGTTAAACCAGACTCACACTGGGGGCTTTAATTTGGTGAGTTCTCAATAGATTGCTCCATTTGAAACGAAATGGCATAAATTCAAAGCAATAATTAGGCACTGAGAGGGAGAGGCAGCGTTGCTATGGGGGTTGTATCTGCAGGTCTGAGGCAAGCTCTTCCAAAACATTTGTGTTGCTCTGCGATGGCTCTATAAAATTCTGTCTTCTTCTTCTGATATTTATCTGTAAAAGGGAATTTACTCTTCTCAGTAAGTTCAGCTTCCTTAATTAGCTTAAAGAATAAGTCTGGTGATATTCTACACCTTTTATACTGCCAGCAAATCCCCACAAAAAGACAAAATCCAGCGATAAATTCATCCTTAAACAAGTTTTGTTTGTGTGCCCAAAGTCTGAAATAGCTTTGTGCTTATTCTTATTCTTTGTATTTGTCTAAAAAAACATCAGTTTTTAACAATGACTTCAGGACAGGGGCACTGCAGTTTATTCTGAGACAGGAAACAAAATACACAATTCTGCTGCAAATATCCAATGGTTTAATGTCCTGCAAACACGTATTAACCTGCAGCGGAAAATAGTTCCTAACCGATGATGTATTAAGCTGTCCTTGTTTTTTTGTTGTTGTTGTTTTTTTAAAACATAAAATAATTTAACTGTTACCCCTAATTAAAAAAAAAAGAATAATTCTAGACTTTCTTTAAAAATGCCTGATCTCACTTTGTGTGTTCGCCGTTGTTTTGTTTAACACTTTCTTAAAGTGCTATATAAAGATGGAGGGATGGCAGATGTCTGTGATATTTGGATGTGGTTTGGTATTGTTGTTATTTCCTGCTTTTTTGTCTCTCTCTAATTCAATTTCCCATGGTGCTTAGGGAGCACATTGAAGAGTTTTACTTGCTCTCAAAACGTGTTCTTTATCGTATCTTCTATTTCCTCGATTAAACGAATACATGTGTCATATCTGTTTTCTGTCTGTGCCACAAAACAAACACACGAGTCATTCAAAAATGTACAGTTGTCATTTATTATGAGACCCTATCGTTTTTAAAGTAGAACGGTCATATAGATACACTCTATTATTTCTATTTACACCCTGTCAGAAGTGGGAAACAGCTTAATGAAAAAAAAAAAAGAACCGATGTTTTAGGAAAGACATTCATATTCGTGAACAAAAGAGTCTTCTTCTCGTCTCAGTTCTCGGTGTTCGTGACTCGCTGGGGGGGTTGAAGCCTCCATTTTCCGTCTGATGTGTTGAGTCAGTGAGCTAATGTAAGGCTTCGGGTCACTGGCAAGGCAAGCTTTGTCATCACTCTGTCCCATAATGATACAAACAAACCCACGTCAACAGTCAATTACAATCATTAACAATCAATCAGTTTTCTATAGTACACAACATGGGGCAGTTTTACCAGTTGTGGGTCACCTTCAGGGACAAATTGAAGATAGAAAATATATTGCAATGAATTGTTGATACTATATGTGGACACTTGTCTTGCTTTAATCACAGTCTCCTGCTGAAAATCCTTTCCTGTGCTATGTTTGGCTCCAATTTAACCAGCCGCTGATTTGACTAGTACAATCTGCATCACTCTGAGTGTTTTCCCAAATGTTATTGCTCTCAATCAGCCAGGTAATCAATTGGTTCTGTTTTTTTCCCCCTCCTGTGTTTAAATCATTTCAACAGATAAGGAAAAACACATCATTCTGTAAACCAGATTCTCCCTTTCATCCACAGATGTTTTACTTTTTCTTTTTTTGTTAACCTTTCCTTTGTTCCCTCTTTCTGTGATGGAAAAGCGTTTATTTTTTTGCTTTATGCTTTCAAACCACAAAGGAGGAAGGAATGAAGGATAAAGGTGACGGAAGAATAACTATGCTGTATACTTTGTCTAGGCCACAAATAATGTTTTGTTCTACACAAATCTTTTTTTTTTTTCCATTTTTTTTTTTTTTTTAAATCATCCACAGGTCAGAAGACAACAAGTAAATGCTTTTATGAACAATCAAGTTAAGTAAAATCATCCCTGATCATGGCTGTTGATGTTAAAAAGAATGCAAATAGGAAAATTAATTTCAGATTTACAAAAGGCATTTACAAAAACCTTGATGCGACAAGCTTTTAAAATGCACACAGGAAATGTAAACACATATTATAGGATAAGTCTGGTGATATTTCATGTAATTCATATTGTTAGTGAAGTCTCGTGAAAAGCCCAAAACCAACAAATGGCAGATGTTACTAAGTACAATTACTTAAGTACTCTACATACAGTTTAAGGTACTTGCACTGTATGTGTGCATGTATGCATGTATATCCATTTATGTTGCTTTATGCTTTTTTTGAGATGTGACTCCTTAAAAAAAAGCAGTTTGGGCCCCTTGTCACAGATGACAGACCACAAATAACCCAAAAAAATAACCACATCACAGAAAAGCCCCAAAACAAATGGACATTTATTCAGCTGAACTTAATTTCTCCTTATTTTCTACACTGTTGATGATTTCCTGACACTTCAGATTTATCAGCTTGACCAATGTGAAGGAACCAACTCCACCTTGATCAGCTGTAAAAATAAAATGCAACATTATTGCATCAGAATTACCAAACTGTTGATACTTCAAGCACAATTAGCTAACAATGCTTGTATATATCTGTTGCAGGACCTTTGCTTGCAATGGAAAACTGCCAGATTGTTGCATTTGTATTTAAAAGCTCTGAGTACTTCTCACACAAGCAAGACTACAGACTACAGGTATTACTGAAGATGTAAATTTAAAAAAAAAAGAAAAAAAGCCACATTGACAAAAATTTCCTATACTGACTCAAATTTCCTTATTAATGTTTATTTTAGACAAGAATTGAGGTCTATAGCACAGAGCAACGAGATACACCAGGTTTTGGCTCCACAGATGGTACCTTAGGAATTACTGACAATAAAAAAATGAAAAAAATAACCAGACTTATCCTTTAAGATCTTAAAGGTTGTAGGTGAGGTATGCCTTTTTGCAGAGAGCTCTTCTGCTATCGTAAAACACTTTAAATGCTCTATCTCGTTTTAGTTAAACGTCTGTTTAAGACGCTGATCTCTGACCAGGGCTGCGTGGTGATGAGGGCAAGGATGCCCGTTACTTGCTGTTAAGGCTGTAGACAAAACCAACATGGCAGCATGGAGCTGGAAAGCTGTTGTTCTGATAAAAGAGACTGAAAGTGGGGCTTATTTTCAAAAGGTGACACCAGGTGTGGGACATAAAGTGAGCTGACAATTACGGTATGTAAAGCACAGAGCCTAACAGTCTCACTCTGGCTGTTCTGCTACCAAACCCTGATGACAAATAGCCCGACTTGTCACAAAAACTTCAATACTGATGTCATGAGGATAGTGATCCGATTTGTACTAGATGTAACGTCATAGATTTAATGTATTCATCAGTACATGTTTTTTAATTTTTTTTTTTTTTTTACATTTTAATGAAACAAACTGAAAAAAAGGGCAAAAATAACATGATATAACGTGAAAATCTGTTAATAACATATCAAATTGAACCAAAAAAGGACATTCACCATTATTAAATATTCCATGTGACATATTGTATTATCAACACATAAATATCTATGCATTTCTTTGTGTCGAAACTAAAGCTCTTGCAATTACACATTTAATTCTATATTACCTTATAATATTCCCATATAGCCTACATACTGTGTCATTTATAGCTTATATCCTTGTATTTTAAAACAAATAAATATTTAATAAATAATGTTGATATAAATCTTTCTTTTTTTCTTTTTTTCTTTTGTTCTTATCAAATATCAGAGCTTGAAAAACATTTGAGTTTATTAGCCACTGGTGTGACAGCAGCGGTCTGTTGTGTTGCAGTAGAGTCCTGTGAGCAGAAGATGGCAGCAAAGAGGCCACACGGGGCAGTGTCTCCTTGACGGGAAAGATCAGCTCATTCTGATGTAACCTTGTGAGTAGAGAGAGAATAACACTCAACTGATTCAGTACTGGCTTCCCCAGAGGGAGTGGGCCCCTTTGCTTCCCTAAACAACACTGTTACTGGTGTTTGGCCTGTCAACTCTAGTAGATTTCAGAGACACGAGCATCAACAGATGACTACGTTTCTGAATGAGGACTTGATCCAGTGAAAGAGGCTCTCGTGTAAACGTGTACTACAGTAACATGACTTCTGCGTCTGTCTGGCAGATGCTTCTGGGTTGGAGCCTGTGTTGGAGGTGGCGTGGTTTGGTTTTACAGAGCAGTCTCCTTCAGGTCGTTGAGATTTGGCATCCTGGTGCGGGAGGCTCGGGTGAATGTCGGTCCGTTCTGACCCGGTTTGATGCCCAGCTGTTCGGGGGTGAACTGAGCTCCCTCTGCCCGCTGTAAAGCAGATACGTGCCAGCTGGACTCGATCTGTCCGGGCAGGGGGTAGCTGGGCTTGCGGCTCTTGGCCTGGGTGGAGCTGCTCACCCCAGAGTGGCCCCTGGTGTCGGCGTGGCCTCGACCCTCGGGGTAGCCGGCTTTGGAGGAGGGCGGAGGAGGGTTGGGTAGAGGGGGCTGGAAGCGCAGGTCAGGAGGAGGAGGAGGAGGAGGCTGTCCTTGATTTGAAGAAGAAGGGGAGAGGTGAAGGAGCCGGCGGAGCGACTTGAGTGGTTGGCTCTGGTAGGTGAGAAAGAGACACAGTTGATTAATGTTCTTAAAGATAAGACCTCTTTTATTGTCCACAAATCTCAGTCTGTGTGCAAATACTCTGACTTCCTACTCATGACGTGAATCTCAAAGTACAGCTCATATATGACGCATCCACCCCGCTTTGAAGTTTAATCCTTTATTTACTTTTTAACATTGAATCATGGTCAGTTTAATTCTGCTTTCTTGACAAGAATTAACAAGAAAAGA